TCAGGAACTCCAACAGCAAAAACGACCGGAGGAACCGCAAGTTCAAGGAGGCTGAGCGGCTCTTCAGCAAGTCCTCGGTCACCTCGGCAGCGGTGAGTGCCGGGCCCCAAAGCAGTCCCTGTCCCCGTCCCTGTCCCCATCCCCATCCCTTGGTGCTCCTCGGTGCAGCTGGTCCCGCAGTCGTTGCCTGGGCTGCTGCAGGACCAGTTTCCATTGAAGCTCCTGCACCTGCCCTGTATCCCCCATCCTGAGCATCTTCAGCCCACATCGCTGTCTCTTCCTGAAACCCTTTTCCTGGTGCCCTGAGAGCTGAAAGGGAGCCACAGTCCAGAGCCACCCCCCACGCGCTTGTCACTGCCCTCCGTGTCTGTATCTCTCTGCTAGCCCCCATAGCTGTGCCGTGCTGGGGTGGGGGCTGTGACAGAGCCCTGCGGGGTCTCTGGGAGGTGATCTTTCTCGAGCGTTTGAAAGGTGGTAAGTGAATTACCACTTTTGTTAACATCCCGTTTGGTTTCCTAGGCTGTCAGCGCATTAGCTGGAGTTCAGGACCAGCTCATTGAGAAGCGTAAGTCCCTTTTTCATTTCTCTCAGAATTTGGAAGGGGTCACACTTCTCCCCACCATTCAGCTCTGTCCCCAGTTGTCCGGATCCATGCTGGGCCCCCCACAGCACTCCCCACACAGCCTCTGGACTGTGAGAGAAACGGAAGTAAAGTTCAACTTCCTTTCTCAAGTAAATTTTTATGCTTGGCAAGAGTTTATTGTGCATGAAACTTATTTAAAGGGCTTTGGTGCTCTTTGGAGGAAGAGGGTAGAAGAGCTGGAGCAGCGCGTGTCCGTGTCTGATGGTCGGTTGCAAGTGACGTGGAGAGGAGCCGCTTACATTCAGGATGTTTAAAAATGTTTTTGTAATCAAATCGGATGCAATTCCAGTGGGCTTCAGTTGCTGAGGAGGTAGCTTGCTGTCTTTCAGAAATATTTTTCAGGTTCTCTTGTTCACCTCCTGCAGGGTCAGCAGGCTCCGCATGTGTCTGCTGCCCCGCGTGCTGCTGCTGCACGGCTGTGCCGGGGCGCGGGGTGCGAGCTGCCCGAGGTAACCACGGGGCTCATCTGTCTGTCCTGCTGCAGGGGAGCCGGGCAGCGGCACCGAGAGTGACACTTCTCCAGACTTTCACAACCAGGAGAATGAGCCCAGCCAGGAGGATGCTGAGGAGCTGGATGGGTCTGTGCAGGGGGTGAAGCCCCAGAAAGCTGCTTCCTCGACCTCCTCTGGGAGCCACCACAGCAGCCACAAAAAACGGAAGAACAAAAATCGACACAGGTTAGTGGCACCAGCAGCCTTCTTGCCATGCCATCAGAGCAGTTAGCTGTTGTTGAATTTACTACATATATGAATATATGTGAAAGGAACCGCTAACTTGTTGCAGTAATGAGCAGCTCAGGTCATTTGTGTTGGTGATTGTCCTGGTTTGCTCACATCCTGCAGCATTCATCAGGCCCCCGTTGCTCCCATTGTACCAAGGAGGGGAAGGCATGCTGACAATTAAACAGGCAGCACAGGGCGCTAGCTCCAGCTCTGCTCAGCTCGGCTTTTGTCCGGGCTTTTTCCATTCTGTCTGTCCTGCAGAGGAGCGTTGCAGTCCTGGCCTCCTGGGCCTGCTGCTTGGTTTCTGCAGAACCAAGTCGGACAGGAATGTCAGCGCTTTCTCCAGAGAAGGAGTTGGAATGTTTTGGGTGTTGTGGACGCTCCCAGTATCTTCACCAAGATTTCCACTCCTGGCCCTTCAGCTGTCGAGTCCCAAACTGAGTCTCTCTTGATTGTGGCACAAGGGAGTTGCTTTGTCCCGTTAACCTCAAAGTGTTTGTTATTGAACTGACCTGAAATTCCTGTGAAACAAAGATTTCCTGAACTCTCTGTGGTTGAATTTAGATGACCCGTTCTTCCCCTCAAGGTGCGTCCCCGAGGTGTGATGCAGCACGGTGGGCTGGCGGCTCGGAACTCTGAAATAAGCTCCCTGTCGAGTGTTCCTGTGCCTTTGAGCTCTGTGCAGGGTGGGCTTTCCTCCTCAAGGGACCTTCCCACACAATTACAAGAGAGAAATATCTTAAGTGATAAAAATTGACAAAGGTTGCTGGGGGAAGGTTGGTTTGGGAGATGCAGAGGTAGGTATAGCACTTGTTTAACTCCTTTTTCTCCTTTGTTAGGTTTTGAGTCGTTAGTGTTTCTCTAATTCTTAGGTCAGGATTCTCTTCCTGCAGCAGTCTTAGTTGGGCAGACGTCCCAAAGCACTGGATGTCCCTTTGGCTCCTCATGAGCTGGGAATCCAGAGCTGGGAGTTCAGGAATCTTGTTTTGCCTGTGGACAGTTGGAAAGAAGTTCAGGAATAACACAAGAAACTGCATCTGTAAACCAGTTAAGAGAAACAATCTGTAGAACTGAAGTACAGCTTCAGAGAATCACTATTTCAAACAAATTATAAAACACTCTCCTGAGCACGTACCTGGCCAGCAAACCCATCCACGCAGACGCAGTGGGCTGCTGTACGACTGCTGTGGGTAATAGAAATTCTTTTGCTCCATTGCATAACCCGAAGTTTGGTGACAGGAGTTAGGAGGAAGGTGCCCTGTTGCCAGGCTGTGTGGCTTTGGGGTTATTCTGTTCCAGCCACTGAAGCAGCTGATGCTGGCTCCTGTTGGGGACAGTGTGGGACAGGAGGAGCCCTGGGCTGGTCCAGTACAGCAGCTTGTGTCAGACACATCCACGTTACAGAAGGGCTGTTGCAGTTAGTAATGGACTATTTTGAAATGCTTAGCCTGGCCAGATAGAGAATTAAAAGAAGAAAAATAAGTTTGTAAAAAAAAAAAATCACCTCTTGAAGTTGTGGTTGCTGTTACTGACTGTCCCCTAAACATTGTCAGAAGAGACCAAACAATTCTCAAGTATATCTGGTTAAAAAACCGAAAAAGCACACCAGACCCGGTCTGCAGAAGGTAGAGCTGAGTGCTGCCCAGGGCGTTGCAGCCAGAGCCAGGGAGAGGCCCAGGTGTCTGTGCCTTGACTGTCATGGAATGAAAAAAAAAAAAAAAAAAGAAAGAAAAAGAAATATTGGCATTTCGGTTTGGTCAGAAGTTCTGAGCAGACGTTCTGCTCCCCTGTTGCTGCAGAGCTGGGAGGTGCTGGGAACAGGCACCCCGAGGGGGCTCTGGCTCCAGCCACATGCCACCAGGTTGGGTTCGGGCTGGGCGGAGCTGGTGTGGATGGATGGGCAGCTTAACTGAACAGTTAAAATCAGGCGGAAGGGACAGTGTCTTTCCTGAAGCCATCCCCTGTTCCCTCCGAGACCGCAGGAAGGCCAGGGCGATGACTTTCTGTGTGCTTGGCTGTTTTCACGGCTGAAACGTATTTTGGGAGAAAACAGTCCTGTTTCCTCTCCGCCATCCAGTGCAGAAAAGCTGCGGAGTCCCCACCGACTGCAGCGTGAGCTTTGGGGCAGAACTGTTCTGGAGGCAGTGCCGCGGCGTCCGCGAGGGGTGTGGTGTCCCCGTGTCCCCAGACTGTGGCTAGCGCTGGCCGAGCGGCCGTGTCCGCTCCCAGCTCTCCAGGAGGCGAGTGCCGGGGACGGTGCGTGTGCGCTGGGAGAATATCCCGCCGCAGAGCTGGCCACTGGGTTCTGGGTCCTCTCTCCTCTGCCCGGTGGAGCTCTGGTGACGTTTGCTGGAACAGTCTGGACAAAGCCGCTGCTTCCTGACCGCTCCTTTGGGTTTGCAAGCGCGTCGGTTCTTCTCTCTGCCTGTGAGCAGTGTGGTCCCCAGTACCTGGCAGCTCCCTTCCCTGCGCCTGCAGCACCCTCCCTGCACCCGCTCGCCTCTGTCCCAACACCTCTGTGTCCCAGAAATCCAGCCGGGGAGGGGGCTCTGCGCTGCCGAATCCGGAGTGTGCCCGACTCTGGTTAAGATATCGTTTGAACACTGCCTTTAGTATTTATTTTATTTTATTTTTTAGTAATCTCGCTAGGGTGGCTAATCAACTAATTTATTTAATTCATTAGTATATTAATTTCTATTGCTTTCTTCCTTTCAAATGCTGCCCCTCAGCCCGTCTGGCATGTTTGATTATGACTTTGAGTAAGTTTGACTTGAATTAGTACTTGTGCTGTGTTGTTAGTGTGTAGACACCAATGTGCCTTTTGAGACCTTTCTAACCCATAGTTTATCTGTTTAATTGTAGGTATGTATATTAGGTTAGGCTGGGAAGTTTTTTTTAAAAACAGAAAAGCGTGATGGAGGTAACATTTTATTTAATAACTTCAGCAAAATTAAATTAACTTCACTCTTCTTTACCTTTCTATTTCATTTTTAAATAGATAAACTTTTTAACTTAAAAACTTAGTTTAAAAACTGATTCTTCTGGCTTTGCTTCCTAAGGAGATTAGTGTAGATTGGATATTTCCTTCTGGAAAAATGTAATAAACTCCATACCTTTGGCTCATATAACCCCTGTCATCTCGAACTCCTGTCTCTATTCCAAGTAAATAACTGTTCCCACTATGTCTGAATAATTCCTTGTGGCATAGTTACACATCTAACAAATTAACGTAGAGCATGCCTGTTTAACCTGATTTCTTTATGCTGCATAACTTCCCTGTGGTTTTTATTGTGAACCTTTATTAACTCTTGTTTTGAGTGGAAGGAATATGCATTTTGGCAAATCATAAAGAATCCACTCTCCATCTCTTTGCTGCTCTCTTGTCCAGTAATCCTGGGACAGTGATTTGGCTCAGCGAATTGGGAATGTGGATTGCATTAACCAAATAGTCTTTGTTGTAGCCTGTGCCATATGCAGTAGCTGGTTCTTTGAACTCTAGTCTGGTGTAATGTATTGAAATGGACGTTTCTCTTATCTTTCCAACCACAGGATTGATCTCAAGTTAAACAAAAAGCCAAGAGCCGTAAGTATCCGTGCTCTGTCATTGTTTTCATTGCTCATCTGTAGACTTGAGTGGCTCACTGACTCCTAATCTCGAAAAGCCTCCCTCTGCTGTAATGTTAAGATCTTATTTGCACGGTTGAGGAATATCACGGTACGAAATAAGCATTGTCTCGTGGATTTGACAGTAAATAAACCCAGGTAGGCTTGTTATGAAGCTAGGTCCCAGTCAAGTCCTGTGCACTCTTTATGAAAAACCTGGTTTGCGTCCTGTTATCTTGTCATGGTCTGGAAGCATCTGGTTTTGGTTTATGCATTCTTGAACTAAGGTTTTGAAAAGTCCTTTCTTTTGAACGTTTATCTACAAAAAAAACCCAAAAAAACCTGTTCTGTTTTGTCCGCAACTAATGGTGTGTAGAAATGAGAGAAGACTGAGAATCCCAGCTCTGCAAGCAGGACTGAAGGTAGAAAGGTGTTAATGTGGTGTCCTTCCCTTTCTCTGCAGGACTACTAGTGCTGATCATCAGTGCTGATGCTTCTGGGATTTAGGTCTGCTTGAGTCCCCACGGAGAGAAATGCCAGTCGACGGAGTGAGCGGGATGGCAGCTCTCTGGCCAAGCGTCTGCAGATGGGAGCGGCTCACGCTAAAGAACTTAGATGGGGGGAAAATCTTGGACCATGTACTTTGCATCATTTTTAAATCACCTGAGTAGTTGCAAGAAGACTAAGGTGTTGTAGTAGTAGTAGTAATAGTCCTGAATTCCTGACTCTTCTGTGCTTCCACCTCAGTTGGTAACTTCCTAAAATTGGCTCATCTTCTGCTGCCACCCCTGACATCTGCAAACCCCTGGAGAGCGATTTCATTTTCCACTGGAACTGGGGCAGGATTCAGTACCTCCCCTCCGTGTTGTAAGACTTAGATTACTTTTGTCGCTGATACTTGGCTTTGTAGCTTTTTGGTTTGGCTTTTTGTTGTTGTTTTGTTTGGTTTTTTTTAAGCTGAAGTGTGTAGTTAACAGATTGACTTTGAGTTTCTTTGTTTTAATCCATGTAGAGCAGAAAGTTCTTCATTTTGTGGAACAGCTCGTTTTGATTCTTACTCAAGCAGAGAAGAAGGGGGTTAGCCCTTTTCTCTACCTTTAATTTTAAACACCATCCCCTAAAATGTACGCGGTGCTTCTAGAGGCAGGGAAGGCTGGAGCTCAAAGCCATCTTGCTCTTCGCTATCTTTGAGGTTGGGCGGATTCTCTTTTTAATACAAACTCCTGTCATTTGTACATAAACAATAAAGTTACGTGTTTGTCTCTCTTCTCATGGTGTTTTCAGTACAAAATTTGACTGTTAGTGCTTTTTATTTTCCATCTGCTTTATGAGGACCCTGCTGGAATTCTTCCACTTCCCGACAGTAGCTGTTCCTTGCCTGGTGACCCTTGGGAGGTTTCCCTTGTGCTTTCTTTCCTCTTGTAGACATAACATTGAGTGCTTGAAAGGATTGCCAGGCACTAATCTCCAGTTGTGTTCAACTAATCCTGCTTCAAGGTAGGACGTGGATGTCAGTCAGTTCTTGCTGATGCTGGCAGGATGCCGGCAGATAAGGGAGGAGCAGTCGGGGTTGCGCTGCAGGAGCACACACAGGGGTGACTCTCGGGTGCTTTTCACAGCAGCTGGGTCAAGATACCGATGCTGATGTTGAAAGAGGCTTTGCTTTTCTCGAGGCGGTAAATTGCCTTTGTTACCGGCGTGGTGATGTGTTTGGGTCTGTTTAACGCTGCCGATGGTGCCAGTGCTGTGGGAAAGGGTGTCCCAGTCCCAGCCCCCGGTACATGCACGTGCTCTCGTCACAGCTCAGGGCTCGTGCTGTTTGCTCCACCGCTGCTTTCTGGGTGTCGGGTCTTTTCGGCTCCCTCCAGGCCACCCAGTCAGTGCAGAACCCGAGCGAGGAGGTTCTCTGTCGAGTGTTCAGGGGGAAGGCAGCTCCGTGTTTGTTCCTGGTGGGATCGGGCTCAGCAGCTGGCGCTGTTGTCCGGCTGGCGGCCGCTTGTCTGCGGGGGGGTGTGGAGAGGGAAGGGCTGAACAGGAGAGCTGCAAAGCTGCCCTACTTCTGTGTTTTAAGTTACAGAGGTTAAATACAGGGGGGTGGGAGATCTATGAACCAGCATTCGCTCCTAGAAGGCCTTGCTTTGCCATAGTTCTGGAAAAAAAAATAAGTCTGAGGGTTGTGCTAACGTGGCCTTGGTACAAAAGCAGCTTTTCTCCCGCTGCTGCTGTGGCAATTGAGGAGTGCAAGAGCACCTGAGCTTCAGAGGGTACAAACCTTTGCTGCAGCTCTTTGAGCGCGAGCAGAGCTGCTGCAGGGCTTTGGCCAGAGCAGCGACCTGCAGAGAAACAGCCAAGGGCTGGTGGAGCCTGGAGCCCTGCAGGTACGGGCGGGTTGTGGGGACATGTCAGCCGTCAGCTCTGCTCTCCCTGTGATGGGCACGGGGGGGCTGGGGGTCAAGGGGAGAACGCGACCTTGCCGGCCTCCAGCAGCGTTTGTCCCTGCAGGAAGGGGACAGCCTGTGCTGCTGGGGACAGCGTCTGCTGGCAG